GCTTCTGTCAGCTTAATTGTCTGTCCATGTATAGCAAGTATAAGAACCAGCAGGGAGGACAGATATGTTTTCAAGGCGGCACAACTGATGTTCAACTCCATCCCGCGGGGACTTGCAGCTTGCGGTTGCATATCTCTAGAACCATCTACCCGGAACTCATCAATCGCCGCTCCTGATGTCCCGACAGCCTGTCAGTGTGGCGGCGTTAGTGGGACAGCCATAGTTTTATTGCTTGTGCGGTCAAATCTCGTCTGTCGGTGACATCGTACGCCGGAATATCTTGTCCCCGTCTTCCATATAATACATTAAAATCGAAATTAGGCGACTTCGGGACACATTTGAGCGGCCAGTTTGTTAGAAGAGGTGACGTAACAGTGACGGGGTTGTGATGTTTATGAAGTTCAGCTAGTCTGGATGACATTAAATGTGCAATATTTGAACTACCAGACACTTTTATGAACAAATACTTGGCGCAAAAGCAAACACAAAAAAAAAAAAAAAAAGATAACAAGTGTATGTTAATTAGTCCAAGGCAATAAATCTCAGTATTTTCCCTTTTATTTTTAACACTCATTGGTGGACTGTTGCCGGTTTGCCAATCTCTTGCTTTCCTCATTGAGACTTGCTGTTATGTGCCAGCGGTAGCAGCTTTCACTTTGTGGGAGTGAGAGAAAAGGAAAGATATATATATATACGGATAGATTTATAGTGAGAGATACAGATAGTCGGACACGTAGAAAGAAAGAAAGATAAAAAAACTTGTCGTATCCTAGAGCAGTTCATCAGACAGTTCGAAAATGGTGAACATCTGAAAAGAACATTTAAACCCGCGCTCGGAAGTACCCGCCGGCGTAAACACTAGCCATCCTACCTGCTATATTGTGCAATAGAAATAACAACAATTCTACATGTATACTAAACATACTTTTTTTTTTTTTTTTACGTATCCAGAAACCATGAGTTGTAAACCCTTTGGCTCGGTACTATGGATATCGCAACCCTTTGGCCTTGATTCCATTATAGGTACCGTTAATTTGGGAGAAATGTGGCTTTTCTGCCTTCCCCCGTGAGTGAACCCGGACCACAAGGAGTTCGTCACCCGGCCGCCGCGAAAGTCCGGTTTAACCAACCTCGCTAGAGAGCCGGGCATACTAAACATACAAACACATGAACAGGTGTGACTACATGATGATGATGGCGATACCTGACAAAAAGAATTTTTTTTTATAGTTTTAAATAATAAAACTTATCATTATCAAGAAGAACGAATATGCGATGTTTAACTTCAAAAAAAGAATTGTAACTGCAAAAACCAAACCCCAAACCATGCCTGAATGTGCGCGTTAATTAATTAATTGACTACTTACTGGCGTGATTGGCAAGGAGAATTGGATATTTACAAAATTCTACTTCATATTTCATTTACCCCTTCGCTTCCAAGGCCAATACCTTTTCCACCCTGGTCTAAACGCCTGTTTCTCTGTTATGAAGGATGAAACCCAGGTCCCGACCTGACACTGGCGATGTTCTTTAGACACGTGAAAGGATCTGACCTTGGACGTTTGTCCGGTTGATGCGCGTGCCAGGCACTGGTGGAGCCACTAAAGAAATCACAGACACACAAATCCAGGTTCCGTCCCAGAATCCTCTTTGTTGCCTGCTTTCTGCGACTCGCGCGAGGACCTCGAGGTCTCCTCGGGACGAGCGGGAACATTTTTCAAGATGTCTGACGGTTGTAAGTGATTGTACTAGCGAAGACGTTTCGGGGCCAAGGGTGAGTGTCTGAAGAAGTGGATGCTGTCCTCGTCAGTAAGTGCTAGCCTTGGAAACAAAGCTGAGGACTTGCAAGTACCGGGCCAGCGGGATTTCAGCGAATAACAGAGAGCAAGATGGGAGAATTAATGGAATTGAGTCAGTCATTTGTGGGTTCACTAGTTTATTGAGCGGTTTGAACGTTGTGGAGTCATAACTTTATTCATAAACCTAGTTTTGGTTCTGTAATTAATGAGAGATTTCATGCACATGACTGGGATGACAATATTGTGGTATTTCATGTGTTCCCGATAGTTAATTTGTCTGCCGTATTGCATCGTGTGACAATTTCAGTGATTTAAAAAAAAAGGAAAAAGTATTTTAAGCGGTTTCTATGGATGCGATTTTTATGTTTTAAATCTCTCGTATTCGCTAAAGTAATGGGTGCCGTATTGAAAGCAGTGTATGTAAAACTATACTTCTGCGATTACTCAAATTTATGGGTATTTATTTGCACCTATAAATGACAATGAGGTAAATGGATATAGGAATGATTCTAGAGAGAATAAATTAGAAGCTTTTTTCACAGATGAAAAGAATTGGCTACCTCCTAATGGCTCTTGGCTGACCCAAACTGAACACCTCAGTGGGCGTTCCGGAATATTCATCCCATATACGTAACAAAAAACATGGGTGCTCAGGTCCTCACAGACTGCGCTTTATCTGAGACAACTATGCGTGAGATGTACTTCCCTCCGGTGTCAGATGGCAACAGGCCCATTTGTCTGTGTTGTATCTTTTGATCTGCACGGTCTAAGACCTTATTCTGACCATATCTGCTCGAGCTAGAGACGGACGTTGCCCCTCTTAGCCACTCCTCTTGTTGTTTTTATGCGTGAGAGAAAATTACAATAATTAAAAGTTATAGGATGAAATAAATAGAAACTGCAAATATCCCCTATGATACTTTTAAAATTGTGAAATAATGGGCTAAATAACATTTTAATTAATTTGTAACAGTGTAACATTCTTTTTTTTTTTCTTTGCGTAAACTCTGGTGGAAAGTTCTGGTTGTTCGTCCACTTCTGGACGGCAGTCCTGTTCCAGAACCTGAGTGTTGCGTGTGCATCCGTTTGACAGATCTGACACATTTGTGTGCAGGCTGTTGGTTCCTTGCCTCTTAGGGAGATACACTCCGACTTCGAAGAAAGCTCCCAATTAGTCAACTCTTACGACATGCTTTTGGGAAGGCAGTGTGTCTATTCTTGTTTTCCCTTTAACAGGTACCCGGAACCCACGTTGGGTAGAGTAACATTGAAATAAATGTCAGTCTTAGGCACATCGGGTTCTCGTACATTAACGACTACAGATCTCGTAAAGATTATTGGGAGGAAATTATTTAATGCGACCACGGAATGTTTTTAGGACGCCCAATAAAAATCTAATTTATTTCTACTTAACTGATTCGCCTCAACAATTGGTGATTATTGCACTAAGTATATCATTGAAAACCATCTAATTTGTTAAGTGAGGTTTGGATTCTGAATAAGTAGGTCATTTAAAGAAGTCAGAGCGAAGTCCGTTCTCTTCAGCTTTCAGAATATGGGTCAACAGGAAGTGACACTAGACTGTCTAAAGTCGCCATGGTTAGAGACTAGACTGTCTAAAGTCGCCATGGTATGAGACTAGACAATTTCCTCGTTCTGACAAAACTGGTGATTTAATGTGGTTGTAGGAGGGAACAATTCTGGAGCAAACTTCACTCAGTTTGGTCTCTAGAACTGAGATGGTTTCTCTGCGTGGTTGATTCTTACTTGATTGGACGATTAGTGATTATATTAATGGCCGAATTGTGACTTTGAAGTCCCGAGTTGGTACAACACAGACAGACTAATGAGGGTCGGCGACACAAGAAAAACATTTGTTTCAGTGTATAATTTTTATTTTTCATTTTTATGTTGACTTATTAGTTTACTGCCCTGTGACAATTATTATTTTACTCTCCGTAAATGTTATTTTTTAATTTTATTTTTATTTTTCTTGATATAGTTACTTCACCCTTATGCACTTCCCGAATGCAGTTGTTAGTTTACTTTCAACTGAAATGTTAATTTAATTTCAGGGTTAGTTACTACTTTGAATTCAAGTTAGACATAGTGTTTCACCTTGAAAGCACACCTGGGTGCTATAAAGTTTAGTACCACTGTAGCTCAACATCTCTAGCTGCAGTGACAATAATATCGCTGTGGGTGTCAAATAAGAATCAATAATAAAATATTTCAGCACCAGCTTAACGAGCTGAAGTGGAGCTGCTGCAAAACAGGAAGGACAACATGGGAGTCAGTGGGTCAGTTGTGTGGGTTAAAGAAGGAATTAGTACGGGAATTATAGTGATGGGTGATGCTTTCAAACTGTTGAACAGAAAAAACAAGGAAACAAAAGTGGAGAAGGAAGAGATAAAGAGAGACAGACAAACATACAGACAGATAAACCGACAGATATGGCAGACAGACAGACAGACAGACAGACAGACAGACAGACAGACAGACAGACAGACAGACAGACAGACAGACAGACAGACAGACAGACAGACAGACAGACAGACAGACAGACAGACAGACAGACAGACAGACAGACAGACAGACAGACAGACAGACAGACAGACAGACAGACAGACAGACAGACAGACAGGGGTAATTTCACTCCTACACTTAAGAACACTGGTCACGGCAACCCCTATCTCTGCCTCACTTCCGGTTCTCAGAGCTCGGAAATTAAAGTTGTCCAAGACCGCACGAACAAGTCGCGAGAGAAAATGACACCAGTTGTTTCAAAATTGCCAGTCCAATTTGGCTTTGTTGATTTCTTTAGTAACTTTTCTTATAGATCGACACGTTTTCGTCAAAGTCTACTTGTACCTCTAAGAAACTGAACAACCATGGATACAGCAGGCCACGTGACAGATAACATTGAAAAGCTATAAACAAGAATCTATACCTTGTTACAGTTGGTCACGTGAAAGATTACATTGACAAGCTATACGCAAGAAACTATACCCTGTTGCAGCTAGCCACGTGAAAGATCACATTGACAAGCTATACGCAAGAAACTATACCCTGTTGCAGCTGACACCCTGAAGTGTGTTGGTTAATATCCATAAATCAGTCTGATTGGTTTGGCATTCCATACTTGTTAGTAACTGTACAGTACAGACTTGATTGTTTAAGATCGCTACCTAATCGACCGTAGTAGTACGTATGCTCTGTTGCAAGCCGGGTTAGCCTTATTCACACACATCTGTGTTGCTTTTCTGTCAACTTAGCAATCTAGTGAAGGGCAAGGAAAAGAAATATCAGTCTCGCAATGAGTCTAGTGGCTTTTTTCTTACCGACCTGTCACAAGCGAAAACACAGGACAGTTATAACTCAGTTGTGGTTTAAAGCTCGGTTGTGATATCTAAACGTTTTGATACAAAACATCCCATTTACTTCGGCAAATTCGTAACTAGTCACCTTTAACGACGTATTAGGAGGCAGTAGGTTTAACCCCCCCCCCCCCTCTCTCCCAAGGCTTAAGAACCCACATATGAATGCCTAGTAACTAAGATGTGTGATGTAAGGAGAAGGCCTAGTGACTAAGATGTATGATGTTAGGAGAAGGCTTCGTGACTAAGATGTGTGTGATGTAAGGAGAAGACCTACTGACTAAGATGTATGATGTAAATAGAAGGCCTAGTGACTAAGATGTGTCATGTAAGGAGAAGGCCTAGTGACTAAGATGTATAATGTAAGTGGAAGGCCTAGTGACTAAGACGTGTCATGTAAGGAGAAGGATTAGTGACTAAGATGTATGATGTGAGTAGAAGGCCTAGTGACTAAGATGTGGCATGCAATGAGAAGGCCTAGTGACTAAGATAAATCATGTAAGGAGAAGGCCTAGTGACTAAGATGTATGATGTGAGTAGAAAGCCTAGTGACAAAGATGTATCATGTAAGGAGAAGGCCAAGTGACTAAGATGTATGATGTAAGTAGAAGGCCTAGTGACTAAGATGTGGCATGCAAGGAGAAGGCCTAGTGACTAAGATGTGGCATGTAAGGAGAAGGCCTAGTGACTAAGATGTGGCATGTAAGGAGAAGGCCTAGTGACTAAGATGTGGCATGTAAGGGGAAGGCCTTGTGAATAAGATGTGTCATGCAAGGAGAAGGCTTAGTGACTAAGATGTGGCATGCAAGGAGAAGGCCTAGTGACTAAGATGTGGCATGTGAGGAGAAGGCCTTGTGACTAAGATGTAAGATGTAAGGAGAAGGCTTAGTGACTAAGATGTGGTATGTAAGGAAAAGGCCTTGTGACTAAGATTATGATGCAAGGAGAAGGCTTAGTGACCAAGATGTATGATGTAAGGAGAGGGCCTAGTGACCAAGATGTATGATGTAAGGAGAAGGCCTAGTGACTAGGATGTATGATGTGAGAAGAAGGCCTAGTGACGAAGATGTGTCATGTAAGGAGAAGGCCTAGTGACTAAGATGTGTGGTGTAAGGAGAAGGAAATCATAATTTTAAAATCTGTAACGAGGCTCGAGAATGTAGAGAATTTTTGGACAAGTGGGAAAATCGTGGGTGTTATAGACAGATCTGCAAAAGAAAGAAATACAGCATGAATCGGTGGGATGACTGGGTTCACACATTACATGATCATAGATAATTAATCTTTGTGGGCAAACATGTTGTCGTGGATGGTGGTGACAATGATTATTTAATAACTGTTAGTTTACTGTTTATCATGCATGGTGGTGATAATGATTATTTCATAACTGTTAGCTTACCGTTTATCATGCATGGTGGTGACAATGATTATTTCATAACTGTTAGTTTACTGTTTATCATGCATGGTGGTGATAATGATTATTTCATAACTGTTAGTTTACCGTTTATCATGCATGGTGGTGATAATGATTATTTCATAACTGTTAGTTTACCGTTTATCATGCATGGTGGTGATAATGATTATTTCATAACCGTTTTTTCACTGTAATTGCTACTTCAGTGTAATTGTTACACCTAGCGTTTTTAACATTTTTTTTTTTAAATTAAACATCGTCGCACCGTTATTGTTTTGCCATTGAGGGCAATCTGCGTTTGCTTCCGTCGTTCCCTTCCATCATAATGTCTTCTGTCTAACGTCGGGTACATATTTCGCGTCTTATCTATCGATAATCAACACTAAGTCTGTATAAATTCTCTATTTATTACTTTGGTGTCCCCAGGGACTTTCCTTCCATTTACTTCTATCCACAGTCACGCGGCAGCCATCTTGTGACGCGCTTGTTTCACCCAGGGGCGTTGACATGTCCCGGAAGTGATCGGCCTGGGTGCAAGGTCGCCCGGATATGACTCTGGTCCACGGACAGCGGCTGCCAGCCAATGAGTGGCATGAGACCATGTTAGTTGGCGGCTTTGAGTGATCCTCTCCCGCCCACGCTCCGCTGACTTGTAATCCGCTAATTTGTTTTGATCAGTTCAGGAACAATCCAGAAAGCCAAAGTCTTCATTACCACTGTACTTTCTTCACTCGTCATAAACAAATATCACTCATTAGTTGAACAATGGTTTTCATTAAAACACATTTTTTTTCTGTTTGTGTTTAGTCTATGGGTCAAGGTGGCAAAATGGTCAGCCCATGTGCCTGGTCATCTGAAGGCTGACAGTACTTGACTCGCTTACTGACAGTACTTGACCCTCTTACTGACA